GTTCGTTCGAATGTAAACAAACATAGAAGGATATTTTAATTTCAGTTTTAATTATTGTCCAGTGGATAATCCATAGTTAATTTTATACAGAATTTTTCCAAGTAATTCAATATACGAATTTTATTTTTAATAAAAAGAAAAAAAAACACCTCAAATATCATATTCTTTATTTTATACAGTGACTAACATAAAATATGATCCTTTTACCGAACCAATATAGTTATACTATACAAAGGAAAATTATTGTAAATAAATTAATGGCAATATTATTATTATTATTATTATTATTATTATTATTATTATTATTATTATTATTATGAACAAATATTGATTTAAACATTGTAGTTATAATTTTTTTATTATTCTCAGATTTATAGATTATCAAAACTAAGATTCATTAATGTATATTATGTAATCAAAAAAAAAAAAAATAACATTTTATAAAAATGAAAGTAATTGCTAATAATACTTTCATGAGACTCCGATGAAATATGCGACATATTAATTTTATTTTGCCTAATAATGTTAACGAGACTATGGGATTATAAAATAATCATATGAATAAATTAATCTGAATTTATTTTACGAATGTCATAAATTATCACCGTACCATATACAATTTAAGTATTGACATTATTAATTAGGACAAACATGATAATTCCATAGTAAAAGTACTTTTTCTTTTTTTTAATAATCCGATAATGTAAAAATACAATGTCTTTTTGTTCACTATGAAAATGCACTTTTTTTTTTTTTTTAATTTGCTTCGTTTATCAATAAATTCAATTCTGCAATATTAAATTATAAACTACTATTTTAGAAAGAAGATATATTTGTATTTGATTAGCCTTCTTATATTGCAATCAATATTAAAAATTCGATTTATTATTCGTAAAAAAAAGTTTTTAGTAAGATTCTGTAATATTATTATGATGATACCTGAATTCTTGTAAGAAACTCGATTTACCTTAGTTGACAAAACTATTCAAGGTACGCACGACAAAAGTTTATACACCATTGTCGGATTTCTAATGCAATATTTCTCGATTTATTATATTTTGCTGAATAATGGAGTTTCATACATTTACGATAAAATCGATTGTCTCAAACATTAAAAGGGTCCATTCAATGGCTATCGATTAATATTAACTCAATACATATGCACACTTTGAACGTTCGTAATTATTTTTCAAATGAAATCGTTGATTCAATATAGAATACATAAATTTATTATATTTCATTAATAACAATATAGAAAATATATATACGTAGTCAATAATTAATTTATCGTTTATCTTATTTTATTAGTATAATGCAAATGTCTTAAATCTTTAACCTTTAGAAATCCTTGTTCTTTGCAATTTCAGTTAAATTAAAAATTAAATAGTTACATGTAAAAGTATCCAAAGATATTATTCGACATTATATTATTATTCACAATTTATGTATCAGTATGTAGAGAAAAAAGTTTTTTAATTAGACAAATACATCATACTTAAATAGAGCACTACTACCCATGAATCGGAAAATCTTCTGTACCATCTCGAGACAACTCTTTTCACGTATCGGCAATGTACTTAATTCACTTTATAATACACGAATTATCGCACAGCTACTTTATTATTGTAAATTTATTATAATCGAGTTGAAATTACGAAATTAAAATAGTCAATTCGATATCACTAATGTGTGGACATTAAACGCGCGTGGCATTAAAGTGCGCATTAAGCTTTTCGAGACAAATAGCGCAAAAGAGACTCTGCCGAATTATTCGCGTGACTTTTTACTTGCTAATCTAATCGAAAAATCTAGCCGAATATACAATCGAATTATAATCCCAATTATCATTGCTTTCTAAACGATACTTATTTTATAATTCGCACAAGCAACGAAGAGTTAATCGAGCAATTGCATAGCCGATGAATGCTTCTTATTGTCTGTACACATGGAGATTTTGACCGAGGAGCGTGAATTTAATCGCCTTGATTACAATTGCAAATCACTTGTCAAGATAGACGAGGAAGATTGTTCTCGCGGAAAATATGAGGAAATCAATGGCAAGTGTACATTGAAGGTAATAACGCAGACAAGAGAGTATTATTTTTTTTGTGCACCGACAAATCGACGCTCGAGCTAAAATACAAAAGCATACATTCTTTTTTTTTTTTGAAGAACGGCGAACATCGACGTTTGTAGGTGCGCGTGCGTGAAGGTACAGTTTAAATTAACGGTACACGTGCCAAAATCTTAAAGAATTACTATCTTTCAATGACGTCGCAAAGCATTCAACGTCCTCAAGTTGGCACGCTCTCGAGATCCTCACGAACGACGGCTAATTAAATAATCACATTTTCAAGAAGAAATATTTATGATCCAGAGCTTTAAGAAGATCGGAGATACACGCAAGCGATATGAAAATAATCGTTTCCCTTTTTTTTTTTTTTTTATTTTTTCTCTTTTCTTTTCTATCTCTCGTAATACGTTAAAGTTCGAGGGGAGGATTCGCTTGATTAATTAAACCAAATGGAAACGGATAACGTGGCTCGGGGTATTAAAGTCTAATTTCGAGAAACGAAAGTGATCGAAACTGCGTGGCACCGAGACCGAGGGAACAAAGTGAGGGAGAAAATCGCGTGATCGGATGTCGGGGGGTTTGGGCTCGCGCGTGAAAATTCGAAGCGGGTAGTGAAGGATCTGGCGAGCGGATAGCCAGGATACGGTGGCGCTAGATTATCGAGCACCAGATACGAAGGACGGATACGATAGGACGTGTTGGCTTGGAGCGTCAAGACATTTTCGGCTATTTTTAGCCAGTATTTTTAGCACACCGGGGGCTTGATTTTCAGGAGCACACACCTATCGAGCCACACCCGCGTCATTAGCATTAACATTATCTTAGATATTTCGGTTAATGGGCTTAGGAGATTAATCGCGAGCTGCCAAGAATGGAGACGCCGGCTGATCCATAGTCGGAGATCTATGGGGAATCCTTGGGAGGACGAGCGAGCGCTTTTACATTGCTCGCGCACGTCGCTAGTGTTTGTATTTTCGTTACTATCGCCCAAGCAACAATACCGCATTATCTACCGGAAATTAATATATATTGGTATCGAAAAGTATGGGTATCGCAGGGGATGGCATTTAATAATAAACGACCTTTATATCTTCGGCCGTTGGATCGGCGAATACAGGGGACTGAAAGGAGCGCATGAATGAGGATAAGCACCGTTCGCACACTCGTCGTCCCTTATCGGAGGAGGAGCTCCCCCCTTCCCCCCGTAGAGTGCGACAAATGGCTCGTAAAAGTGGAGCTATGACGTTGAATAACTGTTACGTTCGCTTTCCAGCGAAGCCAAGACGACTTTTGGCGTCTCTGTGTACGAACGCGAGGCGACGTGATAATTTATCGTTCGCGCCTCTCATTGTGTGCGCGCCGAATTCACCTTGATAAAGAAAGGAATGGGTGTTCGGGAGACGTCGTGAATAATCGCGTATGAGTCGTCGCCAATTCGGGCCAAATGGAAAATTCGTTTGGCTCGTACTTAGAATCGACGCATTAATTGATGTTTCTCACACTGTTCTCGGTATACAGAATAATCCGCCAATTCACTCCCCTCACCCTCCTACGTCATTCTTCTCACTCTCCGCCCGTTTCTCTCTCTCTCTCTCTCTCTCTCTCTCTCTCTCTCTCACTCTCTGTCGGAGGGGCTCGATGATAAACGGTAACACACGCGTGTGACGCGCGTGTATTTCGTACTTATCAGATTCGACTTTGACTTGGGCTCTGGGAGCTTACCAACGCATGCGTCATACCATCCGACAGCCTGTTATTTTCGGCCATAATATAATAATTTGAGATGCGTGTGGCGAAAGCCCAGCGATTACGACGTCGCATGTGTCACATCAGCGACTATTGCGCTCTTTACCTTGTACTCGGGCTTATCGAATTCAGTTGTCGGACGACGAGAGCCGTCAACGCATTAGTTTCGCCAACCGACGAAAAGTACCGAATAATTATTTCATTCGGCTCTACGGTCAGCGTCACTTCCAACTAGTCAGTTGAATTGTTATCCTTGCGGAACAATGGCAATAACGACAAAATGCCCTCCTCTCCCTCGTTAGATAAGCGCGACACTTCAAGTCGGGACGATGATGCGCCCGACTTACGGCGTCGATCCAATGGGCATCACCTCCACCTCAAGCGCAATAGAAAAAGTAAAGAGGAATGCGCGAGGAGGCTGTAACGATACTCTGTAAATAACGAGCATTTGCAAAAGTGCAATTGAAAGGACGAGTAGGAGAGTGGGAGGAAAGGAACTCGAGCATCGTTCGCGATTCACTCGGCTGAGTCGCGGCTCAGGATAAGTGGTGGCAGCCAAAGGGAATTGAAGGAAGGACGCGCGAGCGAGCTTCGCTCGTGAATCCGTAACGATAAAGGGAGCAATGGATAATAAAGAAAGGCTGGATTAAAAGCCGACGGGCTAAGGTGGAATTAATATTTGAATAACCGAGCCCCGGTTTGGTGAAGATCGGGGCTGACAAGCCGAGGGGGTAATTAGAGACGAGCGATCGCGGGGATCGGCAACTGCGGGCCTGGCACACTGCGTCAAAGGATCAAAGACGGCACAAAGGGATCAAAGGAATCTACGTGTATTATTCCCGAGGCCACGTGTATCCTCGAACGCCGCTTCCCCTTTTCCCAACAAAGATAACACACGAGCAGAGAGAGAGAGAGAGAGAGAGAGAGAGGAAGAAAGAGAAAAAGAGATGATCATGACGACGACGACGACGACGACGACGACAGAGATGATCATGACGACGACGACGACGACGACGACGACGACGACGACGACGACGACGACGACAATAACGACAACGACGATGACAACTATGACGACAAAGACAACGAAAACGACGACGACGATGACGACGACGACGATGAAAGCAGTAGGGGATGCGGGAAAAAGCTTTGACATCCCCCACCCTGCGCTCCCCCTCACCATATCGGAGTAGGGAAGAGGGTCGAGAGCTGCTTCAACGACTCGCGTGGTTTATTCATCGTTCTTCGTCAAGCCTCTGACTGACTTTACGCTCTCGATTGATCTTTCCGCTACCGAGACGAAAATGCCGAGGTAGGGACGGGGCGAAAAGAGGACGCGAGAGCGCGTCTGCGCATCTAATTAGTCCATGTAGTGCGCGTCGTCGGCGGCCACCCGTATGTATGATATATCCTCGTCGCGGAATTTTCGCGGTACCCTATGGACGCCGAAGCATGAGAAGAAACCTCCGCGCCGCTTATCGTCACCAGAGATTAAGCGTCCGGGCAGTCCAGGACGCAACGCGATTATGTGACTGTAATTCCTGGGACCTCGGCTTGGTATTGTTCGTCCGGGATGCCTCTTGGCTTTTCAGCGGCAGCTCTCATTCATTAATCCATTTCAAAGTTTCCGTCCAATTGATTTTGCCAGATCAATGGAAATTTCGATTAGGAAAGTCAGACTGACTCATTGCATTAGATGACTCGAATGCAAAAGCGTACAAATAGGAGACAATAATTGCGGAAGACATAAACGGGCGAAGCGCTTATATTTCATCCATCTTCTTGTACATTTTGCATCAATTCCGTAGATTGGATCGTTTGCTCGAGGTCTTAAATCTACTTTTGTTCAACTGTGCAAGTACCGATCGTAAGCATTAAAATAATTTTAAAAAATTTATATATTACCGAGGTGAGTGTGATGTACGTTGATGTAATAAGAAATGGAATTTCAAGGAGTATGTTAGTTAGATAGAGAGATGCGCGCACACGCATAGTGCCCATTTGATTTAAATGTTTGTATTATTCTGACAGAAGGTACAATGAATTCAGATTTTAGAATTCTATTTAACAAGCATGTGATATCGTAAGACTTTGGACTTGGGAATGTTTTTACGAGGTAATAGAGGATAATTAAATTACAGATATACGGTCCGTATATAAATTCTTGATCATGGCTGTTACTGCCAATGCTTTCTCCAATGTGAAATCATAGGATTCCGTGTAATAAGAACGAGCCGTAATGTAAGAATATATAACAGAAAATAAAGGTAATTATGTTAATGTCTTTTTATTTTATACGTAAAACAAACAAAAAGTGTATTTAAAATGTTTATGCTTGTTTGTTGTTATTTGTTATTGTTATTGCTATTATTGTTTTTATAATTCTTCTTCTTTTTCTTTTTTTTCTTCTTCTTCTTCTTCTTCTTCTTCTTCTTCTTCTTATTATTATCATTATCATTATTATTATTATTATTATTATTATTATTATGTGGATACGGTAGAGATGTTATTGTAGTGTGATGATAGTGTAGTGTCGGTAGTGGGTTGGTGATAGTATTGGTAGTAATAATAGAGTTAACTGTAAAGCAAGGCAATGGATAAAATCTTTCGCTAAATAAGCACCGAAAACTTTGGAAATAAAAAATAATTATCTAATAAGAGTGCAATTTTATCCTTAACGTTCAATGCAACTACAATATATTTGTTCGTGCTAGATGCACGCGAGAGATTAAAATACAAGATAATAAAGAAAAAATACGCGAATGTATTTACTCTAGTTTAACGAGAGTAATGGGAGACGAAGGAGAGAGGATGAAGGTGGGTGGGTGGACGAGGGAGGTGGATGGGGGGGGGGATATGACACGTATTAAATCACGTGTATACCGCTTAATGAGAATATTCAAGATAAGATTTTTCAAAATCAAACCTCCACGAGTGCGTTACGAGTGTTTTCACATTTTCCGCCGCCTAAAACCGAGCCCCGCGAACATCTAACTCGTGCCGAGTATCGTAAAACACAAGTACTCCTCAATCAATGCTGAAAGTGCAATGCCTCTGGTTACGCGAGGCGTTACACGACAAAAGCACTAATGCCATCTCGGATTTCGCCCGATATCTTTTGAATCGCCGCGGTCCATATATCAATCGGCGTACTTTTCAGCAACTTCATTCCGCCCATCTCATCCCGTCGACAGTGTCCTTCCTCATCCTTTATTACCAATGCTCAAACGCTACGTACCGCGCTCCTCGCTGTACGAGTAGAGTGAATTGCGTATGGAGCAGGAGGGAGGGGGTGGATGGAAGAAAGCCGCGTATCTTTTCTCCCTCATAGTCCCTCGGTACTCCGAGCCTTTCTCTCCCCTAGTGCACCTCCCTGTCTTTGATAACCCATGGCATTCGAGAGAGAGAGAGAGATAGAGAGAGAGAGAGAGAGAGAGAAGAGGCTTCGGAATAAATATCGCGGTAGCTCGCGACGTCATTTCCATCCTCGAGAATCGTATAGCAGTGCTCGGCCTTTCAGCCTCCCCGCGACTTATTTACTTACGTCGTATTAATGCGAGCTTCCTCCTCGCTGTTTTGTACATTAACGGAGAGGCCTTTGAAGTGTCGTTCATGCATCCGAGAAACTACATTGTAAGCCTTTGACGCGCTACCTGCTGCTTTATTAGCCTGTACGTTAACTTCTTATTTTCGTGCGAATTTTTGCAATATTGGCATCATTTTTTAATTATTATATTTTTCGCATGATCCGTAAGCCGATCGGTCGATCCATTCGACTGGACTTAACATTATTTGCTAATTTTCCTTTGCCACATTTTATGGTCTCGATCTTATATTTATAAATGAGCGTATCGATATTGTAAATAACATGCAATGGCATTGGTGTATTTTTAATAAAATTGAGAAAATTTTATTAGAACAATGAAGAATTGAAATACCGTGGATTTGAGATGCATAGGTGACACGGATATTATAATTAATATAGTTGTTAATGTCCCCTCAATAATTTAACGTTCGGGACAAAAATATTTTATCCCTGTGAACGTCGCTTCGTTACAATGAGACATAACGTTTATTTGCTTTTAAATTTTGAAAGATGAGGAAAGAAAGAAAGAAAGAAAGAATATTATGTCAACTGTCCATATCTTTCGATAGTGTTTTCCTTTTCTTTGTTAAAAGTCTGCATTCTTAAAGAGGATAAAGAAGAAAAGCAAAAGGAATAATCTTTGATACGTCATCTATCATAAAGGAACTATCCGTTATGAATGACATTTGTATTTGTTTATATATGAATTAATTTTATTACTTTGCACACATTAATTGTATTACATGAACGTCCAATGTGTCGTGATTCTTCATAAGAAAGTAGAATATTTTCATTCGATTGCAGAGGAATAAAAAAATAGAGACAAAGACTTTAATTAATTTGCAAAGACCACCGTTCCGATGATTTTCAAGTTGAAGCTTATCAAATTATACCCGATTAGTATCTTAGAATCTCGATCTTCGTTCGATCAGATCGATTAGATCTTAGTATCTCGAAATACTTAACACTTTAAGAGAATGAAGAAGTTAATAATTCATGTAACAAAAAAAAAAAAAAAAAAATTGTGTATAAAGAATGGAGTATTTTGACCCCAAATACAGACTTGATGAAGCTATGGAAATAAATTTATGATGATAAGTACCGATAAAGTTGAAACAGCGTGATAAAGTTTGTAAAAGCAATATATCTCTGTGTGCTCGGGTATACGTGTTGAGTTTGACCGAACATTACTTTTTTGTTTTTTTTTTTTTTTTTAAGGTACCTTCTGTAATCTTCTTACATTTTCAATATTTCAAAAGTTTTCGCTACTTTCAATACCTCATTTATTACAAGTGGCAATTCAATAAATAATTTTACAACTTATAAAAATTCCGTTATCATTTATTAAGTATAATTTATTTATTGATCTTTGGTATTAATTTACGTTTCGTTAAAATAGTTGAGTACACGATCGAGCATAATTTATGCGAGCAGATATGTAGATGATCTACAAATTATATTCATAATACGTCGACATTAATCCGTCGACTGGGATACTATTTCGTATCGATGTAGGTTGTAAATTTACCGAAGCTTGAATTTTATTTTTATTAGTCTTTAATCTATATAGTGGCAGAGTCGTTGCCTTTGTTTTTTCTTCTTTTTTGTTTTGTTTTTTTGTTTTGTTTTTTTTTTTGTCTTTCTACGATTTTTTCGTAAACTCAGTCGTTTCATGTTAACTAATGAAATGCGTTACGAGAGCAAAAGTCATTATAATTTTTCAGTAATCGGCCACCATTAAATTATATGTATATCAAAGAACTTTTATTACCGCTTACGAGGCATCGATGAAATTTTTATAAAACCATCATATTATTCAGCAGTGGCATTAGATTCTACCGAATGTTGTAAATAATGATATGAATATATAATAATATAATCTATTCTAATGCCAAATGTACATGCAAATCAAATTAATGTGTAATCGATATTCTTTTTTTCTTTCTTTATTTTATTACTTTAGAAGATTAAGATTTTCAGTAAAAAAAAAAAAAAAAAAAAAAAAAAAAAAAAAAAAAAAAAAAAAAAAAAAAAATTACACTGTGTTCTTGCCGTAATCCATAGATCCGTAGACAAATGTAATTCTCTTATGGAAATTGGTTTGTCTTCTTCGTTTATTATTATAAGCTTATTTTTCGTTATACATAATATTTAATTATCGCTGTTGAGGTTAAGATTATTTTATACTTATTGCCAGGTAATTCATATTTAATGGTTTTTAATGACGTTTGATCTTAATGCGACATAAGGTAAGGTAAAATTAACGAGAGAGCTCGTTAAATTTTTTATACACGTAAGAAGTTCGTTTCAAAAATTCAGTTTCCAAATTCAGCAGCAGTTTGATTATGACAATGAGAAAGTAAGATGGAGCGATCAATACAATGCGAGTCCAGATGAAAGTCTCGCTTTTAATATTAACGATTCGTTACTTTATATAATTAATTGATTGTTCGATTGTAATATTGCGACTGCTTCAAGCAATTAACATTTTAATTCGCATGCTGAAATATTGCATCTAGCTTAGCCTGATGATGAAGTATTTATTACAATCGTAATAACGTGCACCAATTTACTTGAAAGATTTGCCAAAGTTAATGCGACGACGTTCTTCGTATAAATTTCACATAAATTTGAAGGAGAAAATCGAATGGTC